TGAAAGTCATACGGGAACGTCTCTGTCCACTCTGTCAGCAACTGTAAGATTTTGGGTCCAAATTTTCTGATCCGAGCCTGAAATGGAAACCAGAATGACGGATAGGGATTGAAACGTGTTTACTCATTAAAATCTCCCAGCAAATATGTATGTCACTGAAAGTGGGGCCAGTTCAGTGGGAAGGCACTTACGTTGCACCTGCAAAATCTGCACATATGCAAACAAATAGTGTGGTGCACAAATGATACATTTTGGCATGCAAAATATACCAGTACTTAGATGCTATGCACAACTGCCTGTTTTACATGCAGATTTAAGTATTCTGCACATGTAATTGGATGATTTATGGTTGGATGGACGTTTTGTTGGTGCAACCTTTATACGTTTTTTAAAAACATCTGGCGTTTTTGCTGATTTGAACCATGTATTCTTCCCTTTTGTACTTACAACCCTCCTACATTTTCATCCTTACCTGAAAAATTAATTGGAATGCATTTCTTGACCAACAAAGAGGTGGTGTTTGCTTCTTTGCTTTCTGGCCATACGAAAAAACTGCTTAGTGACCAGTGGCAGGTGTAACATGAGGAAGAAAAGGTGGACAAAACACTAGCACTTTAGTAACTTTACCTGGGCTACTGATAATGTTGCTGTCTTCCCACACGAGCTCAAGGTCATGATAGGACAAGGACACCCACTCACATAATACACAGCTGGCGCCCACTTTGCTTTTGATGTAGATTTAGGAGAGAATGCAGCAGTGGGAATAGTCAGGAAGACATGGGGCAAGGAGGGAAATGTGGGGAACAGCACAATTGGTGCATTAGTATTATCTCAAAAGACGGCCAGTGCGGCTGCTTCCAAAGCTTTCATCCTCCGTTACCCAAGAACGCGTGAAAAGGAAATTGCATTAAACAACAAACTGCATTTTTATTTACAGAAAACACAGACCAAAACAAACACCCTCCTTCTGCATCCTACGTACTGTAGCTAAAGTGCACCCTGTAATCAGGAAAAATTATACTCTTGAGCTCCACAGCTCTCTGCTTTTCAACCAAGGTGGTTAAAATGCATATTTCAGCTTTACACCAACAACCGGTTTCAATGAACCACATCTCTAAAAATAACTGCTGTCAGCTAGCATTAAGCTCACGCTCAAAGACCAGCAGGTGGCTGCTAAAAGGAAAGCTTTATTGGACACTACAAAGGTCTGGGGAGACATTTGCTCCAGCTGTGTAAACCGCTATTATGAATTGAAGGAGAGGACTTCATGCAAGTCACAGGACACGGCTCGGGGACGGGAGATCGCTTGTGTCCAAGTTTCAAAGTCAGCCCCACTCTCAGGAACACAAAATCAGCTTGTCCCACCAACTCTGTGTTACTACAGGCTAGTCCAAAATGCAGACTCACCTCAGGCAGATTGGGTGATCTTTGTAATACAATAATGTTTCTCATTTCTTGCTAAGTTTAATGAGCAGCAAAACTTTGCAACGCTCACATTTTAATCCTCCTAAATTTGCATCTCCCATAGCATCAGAGAACAGAACCCATAACACCTCAGAAAAATTGTTTTGGATGCTGCACCTCATACAGATAGTTCTATTGGCACGGACTGTACGGACAACCCAAGTATCAGATTTCTACGTAGTCTGGCTGATTGCTCTCCGTAGTGAGGGCAGAGCTCCTGTTATTCACGCAACCAGTTGCCTGGGCAAAAACAAGCACACGCGTTCAGATGTTGGTGATTCAGTATATGATGCCAAAAATACTGTTTCAAAGCTGGAAAGGCTGATCTTGAGAATCATTTCAGAATTCTGGGGTTTTTGGAAAGTTGCAACTAATGCACGTTCTTCTCCCGTCCACTGCACTGAAAATGCATCTCCTGCTCCAGGTAATGTACTGGATAGGTCTTCATCAATGCACCGAGGAGAGCTTGGGTGAAATCCAGCACTGAATAGGATCCAGTGGGATCCAACTCCACTGTAGTGTCTGTGGGACTGCCAGAGGATGCACGTGTGTTGTTACACACTGTATCAGTCTGCGCAGTCCCTAGGGCAAAACAGTGCGAGTGCCGACGCAGTAACAGCTTGGATTTTCTCATTCTGTTAGCTTGTCACAGCCTCACTGCTGCTTCAACTCATTCCTGGTGTGCCAGACAGCGCCGCTCTGCCGCACAGCTGTGTGGACGATCTGTCAGTGCCAGCAACGGGAAGTCAGTGGGTAGCTGCATGCTGTTACGTAGCGTTCAAAGTGACAGGTAAGGCCAAGAGGAAACATTACTGTACCAGAAGCAAGAAAGCAAAAGAGCAGACGCATTAAGTAAAAATGGGAAAAAGAGTGGTGTGTCGACATATGCAGTTGACAGCGTGTGAGGTTTACGTCCTACCTCCTTGCATCCCTCAGGCTTCATCAGAGCCTTAAAGAAGTTAAGAAGGAAAGTCACCTGGGAAGACTGAGACAGGGGGAAAGGGAAAATTAGAAGAAGATTTGAAGTGACTAGTGCCTGGAGCACTACTCTTGGACATGGATACTAGGATGCCTCAATGTCAGGATCTCGGCGGCAACCATCATCCTTTATGAGAAAGTTTCATTCAATCCGAAGGGAGGCAAAGGACACACACCAGAGCCCCAGAATTCTCTGCCCATTGAAAATACCTCACATTTTTCTGCTGTAAAGATAAACTAACCTTGTCCAGCACGGGGTCGTCCAGCCGCTGCTGCTCAATGCACTTGTGACAAACTCGGGACAAAAGCTCATGGGGTTCGATGAAGAGTCTGGCTCAGCAGGA